ACTCTTGTATATTAACCTGTTGTGTTTGTGTTGTTGTTCACAGCGCCCCCTACAGTGCGGATCGTGCACTCTGGTCAGGCCTGTAATGTGGAGGAGGAGCGCTACAGTGAGAGGGTGTACACGATCAAAGAGGGAGAGACTCTGGAGCTGCAGTGTTTGGTGACTGGACACCCCCGCCCACAGGTAACAACATGCTGGGTATACTGGGAACGCTTTGACTTTGTGTGGAAGAAAACAGGTCATGAAATGGCAAAGAGTGAACAGAGTTTATGTTCACACGTTTCCACACGCTGCACCCGTGTTGATTCGTCGGAGCAGTCAGTAAACCTCCCGTTATCCTCAGCGGCCTGCTGAAGTGCCAGAGCCCCCGCTGAGTGGAGCTACTGTAGAGCCTTTGAGTTTCAGAAAAGACAGCAATCACACAGCGACGAGGAAGAGGAGAAGAAACCCTGTGAGGAAGAGGAGAGCCACTGCTGTCTGTGAATGAAGACATTTAGTGAAGACGAGGAGAACGGCACAAGAGGAAGAAAGGAAAAAGATTTCTAGGTTTTAGTAAGCGCAGCTTTTATTCCACGCAGCTGTATGTTAGTGATTGTAAAGGCCTTTCAATCCACGACTCGTGATGTTCTCACAGACTCACTGTAGCTGAGCAGTGAACAGCTGTGACTCTTTCAAGGATTTACTGTCATCAGAGGAGCAGCAGTGTCAGAGCTCTGACAGGCTTCATGCTGTCTGTAGCTCTGTGCAACCAGAAGGTCGTCACCTGGAGTCCCAACACTCACCTGAGTGCTGCGCCCATTGCTTTACTCTGCTGTAATGACCCTGAACCAGTGCAAAAGCACTCAATAATCAATGCTGCTGCTTTAGTAATTGAGTATATGTCATTAATCCATCGATGAATCGGATAAGAAGAGCTTCTGTCTCATTAAGACCAACAGTAAATATTCAAAAGAGCAAAAACAGAGGATTGTAAAATGGGCGGCTCGGTGGTTTTAGTGCTTTCAGTGCGAACACTAACGGCCCTTAGTTAGTGGTATTATGTGAGATTTTATCAGTTTGTGAAGAAAATATCTTCTTAAATGCAAAAATAATAATAATAATAATAATAATAATAATAATAATAATGGATTGCATTTATACAGCACTGTACAATGCCACTATTCATCCACACACTGGTGGAGGCAGCTACATCACAGCTGCCTCAGTTTAATGGAAAGAGTAAAACTATCAATGGTGGGTGGGAGGAGCTACACGTGAGCTCACGGTAAGGACTCCGCCTCTTTGCCTTTTGCGTTAGTGTGCAGACAGACTCCATGTTAAGCTACGGCAGCATCTGCTCTGTTGTTGGTGTCTTTGTTGCAAACGGTCTGCTTGGCTTTGATGTCGCACGCGTTTTAGTCACATGTTGCGTTAGCGTGGTGAGCTCTGCAGAGTTTCTTCAAACGAAGCATCAAAGCAAAAGCTTTGCTTTTTGTAACCAACTCACCTGATGAGTCACTGCAGCCCTGTTACATTGATGTACAGGAGGACAGGAGTGCTGTTGCTGTTTCTTTCCGAGTCGGGATCTTCTACTGGAACAGCCTACAGTCGGATTTCCCACAGTCCTCTTCTCTTTGCCAACGACGTCTTCCAGAAAAAGCAGATCTACTGTGTCTGACTGGGAAAGGTCTTTACACTAATCTGACATTGTGAAGTTGATGATGTCGGGCGATAGAGTAATCATGTGTGCTCTGATTTCCCATCAGCCTCATTTTCACCGTCCTGCTCTGTTTGCCTGTGTCTACGTCTTCCAGAAAATCTTAATTTAGGACAGACTTCGATGTGCTGTTCAAACTTAACCTTCATAATAACCATAGTAAATGAAGCCACTGTGTTGTGACTTGTTGAATAAGCTCTGCTGAGCCGTTCAGAGACTGAAGCTGCTGCAGCAGCGTGTTTAAGCAGACAGCAACAGCAGTGATGGATGATACCTCTGTGTGATCTCTTGATTTTGCTGTAAACCTCAGTTCTGAGGTATAAGCAGCAGCTTTGCATGTGTGTAACATCAACAGTCTGGAGACAGTAACTCTTCAACAATATCAAAGAGTAGAAGAAAGAGGTGACTGTGACTGTTGGCTGGAGCTGTGATGCAGGATGTCTCTGTGACCTCGTCAGATATCTCAGCAGGAAGGAGCGTGTTTGGACCAACAGCTCACATTTCCACTGTGTTTGGGTCAAAGCAGCTCTCTCACGTGATTTCTCCCACCATGAAGTGCTGCTGCTGTCATTGGCTCAAACTGGTGGTTTCTCAGGGTGCTCAGAGTTCACATGTGTCACTGGTATAAATCGTTCATGTTCTGATCTGATGAAGAACTGTTACAGTTACATTACAGTTTATTCTGTGAGCTGGTTCCTTCACCTCATTGGCCCTTTGCTTCCTTTGCTCAGTGATGCTGATGGTTTGATTCTGTGCTGTTGGGTGAATAAAACGCGACGAGGTCGTTGTGACAGTGGCAGTAATCCCACTTACCCTCACTAAGTGTGAAAAGTCTTAAAGTCTGCAACTTTAAGTGCAGTTTGCTGTTGGTGCGTTATGAACCCTGCACCACATGTCACAACCAGAGGCCGTTATGTCTGCATCATTTAGCAGCTGCTTCAGGCTTCCCAAGGTGAAACCTTTTGCACGACTCACAGGCTGATGTAGTTCAGCCTGTTTCAGCCGGTGTTTCCCATCAGCCTGTGATCGTCCTGACTCCATAAATCATTTTAAATGTTTTCAGTGATAGCAGGAATGAATGTTGGTAACTGCATTAGTGATCTCCATGTGGTGATGCTGTCTGACTCCATCACAGGCAGATTTAAGCATGAGGGCTCCAGTGTTGCTTTTGGCTTTAGAGGAAAAGAAATCAGCTGTGCCCCTAAAACCTCTGATGATGCAGTAACACTGATGGAGGGGAACACCACCCTGCTACTGTTCTTGTACATGCAGCGAGGTTGGAGCAAATGCCAAACACGGCTGCATTACTGCTGAAGTTGAAGTTTGTCACTTCCTGTTAGCTGCACTGCACCAGCTTCTTATTTTGGTGAACTGACAGTAGAGCTTGTTGCAGCCAAATAAACACCTTAAAGTCCACACAGGCTGTTCTTTACATTTCTGCTCAGTTTGAGCTCTCAGACTCTCACTCTCACTTTTACTATGCTGAAGTGCCCAACAGTCACTCCAGCACTCCTGCTCACCATCAGTAGTGTAAGGCAGAGATCAAACGTGCAGTTAGTAGACGGTCCGCTCTGTTTATAGTGCAGCTTGTTAACAGCTCAGCTGCTGCCTCTGCATTAACTTCAGTTAAGTTCCCCGACTCTTCCTCCCTCCAACCTTTCTTTGTCTCCTCTCTTGTAACCTGTCCTCAGTTTTGTCTCCTTTTGTCTTTCCTTCATTCCTTGTGCTCGTTTCCTCTCTTCTGTCTTCTTCCTTCTTCGTTTTGTTTATCCTCTCCTCTACTTTCCTCTGTTGCCATATCATCTTTATCTTGTTCCTCCTCCTTTTACTCTGCATCTCCACCTCATGTCCAGTGCTGGTGTGGACATTATCAGCAGCAATCAGCTGTTTGAGTGACTCCCCACCTCTCTGTCCTCTCTCGTACCCCCGTTCTTCACTTCCTGCGCTCTCCTCTTTAGTCTCTCTCTGCTGTCAGTCTGTTGCAGCTATAAATAGAGCAGCTGCTGGCACACACACACACACACACACACACACACACACACACACACACACACACACTTTGTTTTCTCTCTCTGCGTCACCACAGAGCTTCCTCTGCAGTTTTCTTTCATCACTCGTTTCTCGTCAACACCTTTCGTCTTCTGGCTCCACTTTGCAGTTACGACAGGAACTGAAGACGCTCTGATTGGTAGAGGTGGGAATCACCAAACATCCCACGATACGATATTATCACAATACTTAAC